TATAGTTTTTTCAAGGACGTCGATATTTTTTTTATTGGTGACATGTATATTTTAGAATTTCTAACAATTTGCATGAAAACACCATAAATAAACAAAGTAATCAGAAAAACGTATGTACATTCGAAGTTAACGCTAAAAAAATGATAACAGCCGGTTTCACTAGCAATTTCCATATAAGGTTCAAAAAATTAAAATCATTTATCACTTAAATTGATTTCGTGAAATTGGCTGTAAGAATTATTTTCTTAGCGTCAACGCGCATTACCACCGTTAACTTGGAATGTTTAGAAAAAACCATTGTCGAATATTTTCCCAACATTGACTCTGAGGATGGCTTCAGCTGGATAACAAACCCGTTTTCATGTGGCCCGAAAAGTAAACCTACTGCGATGACCAATTAAGCTTTTGAAAACCTTCTGGACACCAGTGAAGACAGCACTTTGATTATTAAATACTACGAAGGGAGCCAAGAGAGTTCTGGATGCAAGTATATGCAGAAAGAACTGCTGTTGGCAAGATTGCATTAAAAATACTAGTGACTTTTAGGCCCTTATTATGAGTTGTTCGATTTTCGATCTTCGCTGGTTATTGATCGGCTAGACACTAATTTTAATTTTTTTTTATAAATTTCATTAAGCTCTTAAAAACAAGCTCAAAAGGCTGGTTTTACTTGTGAAAGAAAATCCCAATACTCAGTTGGCACGATCTCTGAGATCACAATCGTAAGCTGTTGATAGTTTTAAAATATTTTAAATAGATTTGGCTCACAAACGCCTCTTTAGACAGTCGGAAGTTTTTAATAAATCTGTAGATTTCTTAAATATATTTTATGTCAAAATATATTTGAAAGACTACACTTAAACCCTCATACATTTTTTCTACTCCTGGCCAGTTTACCAAGCTTTCATCCTCTGACGAATCGTTGATATCGAATCGTTTTTATAAACTCGCTTTCTTTTTTATTTCATTATATATTTAGTTTGCTTGAATTGTAAACCAAACTTGTCAGCGGTGAAAAATATACTATTGTAAACTACCTAACCGAGCGAAATTCACAATAACGCTATTGTTTATCGAATGAGTGTCATAATACCCAATGAAAATTCGTTCGATCAGCACTTTCGACCACAGCCGAATGCAACTCATAATAGGGGCCTTACTTTTACATCTCTATGTGAACTGCATTTTCAACAAATGCTTAAATAAACAAGTAATTTTTAAGCAAAAAAAAACAAAACCGATTTCAATTCCCATCTAAGAATTTAAGATTATCGTTAATCTATTCATGATCCAATGATCGGATTTAAACCAAATTAGACCACCTGTAAGGTTACACCTTTCTTTATAGTAATCGGTTAACGTGGTACAAAGTTATGCGGTAACATACATAGAAAAAAATAATAAAAAAACATTCCGACGAATTGAGAACCTTCTCCTTTTTGTGAAGTCGGTTAAAAACAAATACACCAGCAAGCTTTCAGCGTCAAATGATTTCAGGGTAAAATTGTCAAAGCTCCCAATAAACTTAAAGGAAATAATGAAATCATCAAAACAATTTCACTCCTCACATTAAAGCTAAAGGGGCATAAAGTTTGCATTGTGTTTTCTTGTTTTCGTAGACATTTTATAAGTAGGTGTTCAGTCGCAGCATTGTTCCTTCATAAATTTTCTTCTTATTTATACATATGTATGTATGTACTTCATATTTAAAATTCTTTAATTTCCTAATCCTAATTATTTTCTACCGATTTAAAATGTATTACTTAATATGTATTACCGAATATTCATATACCGACTTCATAAGTATATATAATAAGTATCACTAAATCAGGCTATTAACCAACGGTCAAATTCCAATAGCGTTTACATGTAAGTTTGTCTTTATACATATGGATATAAGCTGTCGTTGAAATTATCTCTTTGGTATTCTTTCGCCACGCTTCGCCGTGCATACACGTAAACGAAGATTAATAAATCTTGACTTTTTTATATAAAAGAATCAAAATCGACTTTGATTCTTAACATTGGCGACCGTTACACGACACGCAAGTCCTCGATATATTTAAGTCTGTTTAATTGCGAATGTAATATCAAAAACACGCTAATTGGTGATCGCCCAACGGAAAGTAAATTAGACATTAATTTCTAAAGTGTGTGCTTAATGTAAATTACGCGACGCGAAACGATATTGTTTAAACCCTAACCAAAATTGCATTTTGTGAAAATTCGCTAAGACATTCTTAAAATATTTTGGACGGTACCTTGTAAAAATAAAAATAAAACCCAACTCCGAAAATAAGCCCACGCGGTAAATTAGCGGCATCCCTTAGCGGTATATCTCCAACAGCAAGTTACGATAGCGCCACACACGCTGAAAGCGGGGATAGCCTAAACAAATACCCTGCGGGGAAAGCTACTAGTTGTGAACTAGAATTCTACCGGTTTGCGATTCAGCCGAACTAGTTCACGTTCTATCCTTTTTCAATGCTAGCGACTGGTATTTTTAACATTGCGATGTCCTACGAGATGTCAATTGTCGGGCTATGCATCAGCATCTACTATTATAAATACTAGTAGCATCATACCAGTTGATGAGATAGTCTGCCAATTCATGCCCCGTGAAAAGCATAAGAGTGCCTTTTTGCTCGCGACGCTCCAGCAGTCACAATAACCGACAGAGCAGAGCACTCGAATGGTTAGCCTGAGGTCCCAGGTTCAAATCCTGGCGCAGGGAAACTTTTTTTATTTTCTATTTTTTATTTTATTTTTATTTTTTTATAAATTTATTTTTTTGTTTATGCTGTTTATTGTAATTTTTAAATTTAATTAAAAAAATATTTTTGTTTAATTTCTTTGTTTTTATATTCCTTCCTAAATCTTTTTTTGCAAAGCAATTAGATTTTCAAATTTGTTATTTATTTATAAATTGAATAAATTATTTTTACTTACATTTATTTAACTTTAAAAATCTTAACCACCTCCAAGCGGCCTCGAACCTGCGATTTCAGAACCAGAACCAGTAGTCTTCACGTGACGCCACAGCCGACATTTGTAAGAAAAGCAATTAATTGCGTTTTATTTTTGGCTTTGGCAATTCAAAGGCAGATGTCGCTGATCGCCTAAGTTCTTCGAAATTGTCGAACTGGTAGGCACATAATAGTTAATGAACTAGTATTTTTTCGAACTGGTTTGGCTTTTCACTGCAGGGTAACTATGACTGAAGCAAAAATCGCCAAACTAAAAGTCAGACGCGCTACAGTTATTGGACAACAACAACGCGTCAAGGAATTCGTCGATAGCAAACTACCCAACGCATCGGTTGAGGAGATCGACACCAGACTCCAGGCGCTTGAAAAATATTATACAGATTTTCAAACCATTCAAGCCCATTTAGAGGAGTATGAATCCAGCGACACAGATGCTGTCCGTCCAAGTTATGAAGAGCTTTACTTCAACCTACGACCAACGCTTATGACAGCAATAAGTAACATAAAACACAAAAATAAAAATCTTAACGGAGGTGATGATCAAAAGAATGCACTTCGTAGTAAGTCACTCAAGCTGCCCGAAATACCGTTGCCTACGTTTTCGGGAGATTACACTCAATTGCTCTCATACTACGAAACCTTCTCCGCACTGGTACATCGAAACGCTGCAGTCGATGATGTCACTCGCTTTCACTACCAGCGCTCTTCGTTACGAGATGGCGCACTTCGACGCATAGGGCCATGTCTCACGATCAATATTTATTGACGTGATCCAAGTATCGCGATATTTATTGACTGTGTAGCATGCAATATTGATGGATCGTGATCCAAATCGCAAAATTTCTAGAAATTTTGAAATCTGGATCGCGGATCGCAGTACTGTCAATAAATATTGAACGTGTAGCATATTTCGTTCGCGATACGTCAATACGTGTGTATTTCAAAATAAAGCGGAGATTTAAATGTTAAAGGCGAAACGTTAATTATTGGATTAATTATTTATTTGGCAGTGGTAATTTTTAATAATGTCGGACGACGAAAGCGCACATATCCAGCCGGCGGTGTTGGGATTAACGAATGACCAAAGGTGTTTGAAGGAGTTTATCCTACAATTGGAAAGTATGCCGGAATTGTGGGATCCTTCGTCCAAAAGCTACATGAATAAAATAAAAAGAACGGCCGGACATGAGAAATTATTACTAATCTTAAAAAAAAATTAATGATAACGCCACTGTAGGTGATGTCAGAAAAAAAATAAATTCTTTACGATCAAATTATCGCAAGGAAGTGAAAAAATTATTGACTCCAAGCGCTCCGGAGCTGGTACAGAAGACGTTTATATTCCAAAGTCTTGGACATTTAACGCTCTTCACTTTTTAAATAAAAATGAGAAGCCTGTTGACCTGGTAAGTAAATTTGTTTTAAAGATTTCCTTGAATTCTACTCATACTCTAGTGAATACCTAGCTATAAAGGTGGAAAGAAATGAAAGTAGTATGTAGATTGTCTGTTGTTTTAAGTGAAAACTTTTATTATTCTTTTTTTCATATAAATAAGTGATAAAAATTGAGTGGCAAAAGTTAGCATCTATATTCGTCATTGTAATATTTGCAAAATTTGTATTTTATAGTTTTGGCACATCTTGTTGAATTTCGCGCCGAACTGCTTTGTATAGTGGTTAATTGAAAATTATACTCATTGGAATTTGGTGCCTGATAATTAGAATCTTTTCTCATTAAATAAAGTAATTTTCGTAGTCGCTTAATTCCTTGCAAAGTCGAATCGAATCCAATAATCTCAAATGAGTGTACCTATGCCGCTCCAGGTACCATCTTCGACTCCAATACTTCCTCTTTGTTTCTTTTTTTAATGAAAATGCCAGTAATGTGGCTAAACACGCTCTTTTTGAATTTTCTTGCATTTTTCTTATTTAAAAACGACTTGCACAGTTCAAAGTTTGAAAATAATGACGCGATAAATATTGAAGGTGTAGCATAGCAGAGAGTGGAGCATCATGCATCAATATGGATCACGACACTGGATCGCGATCCATATTGATCGTGAGACAGGGCCCATACAGTCAATGGAAGTCACTGCTGAAAACTACGACGCTGCACTTAAGCTGCTTGTAGAGCGATACCAACGACGAAATATCATCGTACGGGAGCACATACGACAGCTCTTCAACATACATTCAATTGCGGCGAAAATCGGCCCACTTGCTTTACGAGACTTGATTGATTCGGTAAGCATACAACTAAGAGCGTTAGCATCATTAGGGCGACCAGTAAAGCACTGGGATGACTTGGTTATCGAACTAGTGCTGTCAAAGCTTGACAACACAACACTAGAAAAATGGAACGACGAGTCTCCAACTGACCTCCTTCCCACCCTGGACGAACTTTTCAAATTTCTGGAAGAACGCTGCAATCACTTAGAGGAAAGATCGTCCGTCCAGCGGACGAAATTACCTTCACAACCATCAGAAAGCCTCGGCAAGGCCCCACCAAAAAATCGTTCAACACAGCCGCGCGCATCCTTTGTCGCTACAGAGAATTTAAAGCCGCAACGCGATTGTACATTTTGCAATGGTACAAACCATGTCATCTATCGATGCCGAAAGTTTCTCGCTCTCAGCCCAAAACAACGTTTTGATGCTATCCATCAAAAGAATTTATGCAATAATTGCCTTAAAAAGGGTCAAAGCATCTGAATTGTAATTCCGAAAAATGCAGAACCTGCAACAACAACCATCACACCCTGCTGCATAATAACACATTTTACTTAAATGCAGTCCCTGCTTCGCAACCGACTCAGTGCACTGCCTCTAAAACCGATTGACAATTAGTTTCCCGCAGTGTAGCAGGAGAAAGCTCAGCCACAATCGCCAGACCTGCAATCGCTGCCAATAAACTCAATGCTAGTACAGCAGCAACAAACAAACTCAACATTAGCACTGCACTAATAACGTCAATAGATAGCAGCTCATCAGCAAGCGCTCTCACCGCGACAGCGCATACTTCCAAGTTTACGGTTCTTCTTGGTACCGCGCTTATTCACATTGTTAACAAATGGGGAGTTCCACTGCTGTGTAGAGCACTATTAGACTCGGGATCTCAGATGAATTTTGTTTCCGAGCGCATAGCTGTTCAGTTAGGCTTAAAACGACAGTTAGCTGACGTTGCGATTTGCGGCATTGGTGAAATCAACGCCAAAGCTCGTCATTCTATTACAACAATAATAAAATCCAACACATCGGATTTTTCAGCTCAGCTTACATTTTTAATATTGCCCCGTATAGGTGAAAATCACCCGGAATTTAATTTTGACATAGCTCGATGGAGTCTCCCAGCAGACCCCACATTTTTTAAGCCCCAAAAATTTGACGTGGTACTGGGCGCTGAAATCTATCTTGATTTATTAATCAACGAACAAACTCGATTAGCTGATGATTTACTGCCCCTTCAAAACACGAAACTGGGGTGGATAATTGCTGGAAGAGTTCCGGCCGCAAAAACTACTAGCTTCCATTGTAGCAAAATATCTGCGCCTTCGGTTGTTTCGTTGGAAAAGCTGCTTCGCCAATTTTGGGAAATCGAAGCTCATTGTAATCACGCCAGAGTTATGACGGCAGAAGAAAAACTCTGCGAGTCCCACTTCGTCCCAACAGTAAAACGAACGGAAGCAGGTAGATTTATTGTCCGACTACCATTCCGACAGTCACCAACCTCATTAGGAGATTCGCTCGCAGCAGCAAAACGTCGATTTTTCGCACTAGAACGCAGATTGGCTAAGGAGCCATAAGAGAACAATATTGTCAATTCATGCGTGAATATAACACTTTGCACCATATGAGCCGACTAGGCGACTCTAATAGCTTTGCATCGGACAGCTACTATTTTTCACCGCACCACTACGTAATAAAAGCCGAAAGCTCTTCCACAAAATTGCGCGTCGTTTTTGACGCCTCAGCAAAAACCACTTCTAACGTGTCACTCAATGACGTGCTAATGACCGGACCCACTGTCCAAGCTGATCTGTTCTCTGTAATTACGCGTTTTCGAACATATCGCTATGTCTTTACATCAGATATTAGTAAAATGTATAGACAAATACTACTGGACCCTACCGACTGTCAGTACCAACTAATCCTCTGGAGGGAAAATTCTCTAGATCAGCTTGAAATTTATCAGTTAAAAACTGTTACGTATGGCACATCTGCTGCGCCGTATTTGGCCACGCGTTGCTTAACGAAACTAGCTGAAGATAGTTGTCGGAAATATCCGTCAGCGTCCACAGCGTTATTATTAGAAACTTACGTCGACGATATAATGACAGGCGCTAATACTTTAGAGCAAGCCGCAACTCTTTTGGCAGATCTTCAACGGCTGCTTAGCACAGCACAATTTGAATTACGTAAATACTGCTCTAACAATCCTGAGCTGTTACAATTAATCCCAGAACAGCACAAAGAACCATTCTTAAGAATTGGAGATAATGATGTGGTGAAAATGTTAGGTTTGATTTGGCATCCCACTGCCGGCACATTCGCCTATCATTTTGACTTTAAACGAACGAACATAACTACCAAGAGAACAGTGCTTTCGGATCTTGGAAAAATATTTGATCCCCTCGGCTTAATTGGACCTGTCGTAGTTCTAGGAAAAATTTTTATGCAGCAGTTGTGGAAGCTTAATATTTCCTGGGATCAACCGCTACCCGAAGACTACGAAAAACGATGGAAAAATTATGTCCAGCAACTGGAAAACCTAAACTCGTTACAACATCCCAGACATTTATTGTCATCAGCGGTAAGCAAATCGGTACAGCTCCATTCCTTTTCTGATAGAAGCGAAGCTGCCTATGGCGCTTGCTGTTACTTGCGGAGCATCGATATAAACAACAAGGTCACGGTGCAGCTAATATGCTCCAAATCGCGAGTAGCGCCTTCCAAGTCAACATCAATTGCCAAATTAGAGCTTCAAGCAGCTTTACTTATGACGGAACTGGTTGAACGTCTGCAAGACATTATTCCCATGCCTATAGAAGATACAATTTTCTACACCGACTCTAAAATCGTGTTGGCTTGGATAGCAAAGCCTTCATACACATGGACGACATTCGTCGCAAACAGAGTGGCGAAAATTCAAGAACTTACGCGCAAGGAAGAATGGAGCTACGTCAGCAGCAAGCAAAATCCTGCAGACATCATCTCACGCGGCGCTCTATCAGAAGAATTCATTAACTCATCGCTGTTGACTAGCGGTCCAGAATTTCTACACTCAGCAGCACTGATTCGGCCCAGGCAACCACAATCAGATCAGTTAGACGAGGTTCCTGAACGTCGACCAAATAAGCTTGCGCTTTTTTCGGCGAACCCAGCACACAGTGACTTGACAACCAATATAAGTCATCGTGAATCGCTGCATCGGCTAGAACGCATTGTCGCTTATGGCCTACGGTTTGTGAATAACGCGAAGGCCTCCACACAAACGGATTGGAGGGCCGCTAACCATGCTCGAGCTCGAAGCAGCACTTACAGCCATAATTCGAAATACTCAGCGCAGTTATCTTGCAGCAGAGCACAGTTCATTATCTAAATGTGTCAGCGTCGATAAGTCTAGCCGAATCCGGAGTTTCGACCCATTTCTATGCTCGGAAGGACTCATCCGAGTCGGTGGTCGTCTCCAGGATAGTAATCTAGAATATCGCTCGAAGCATCAGATTATTCTACCAAAAAATTGTACTTTAACAAAAACTTTAGTTTTTTCTTATCATTTCATGCACTTACACGCTGGGCCGCAAACGCTTCTCTCAATCTTGCGCCAACGCTACTGGCTTATTGACGAAAAAAATCTTTGCAGCAACGCGGTACATCGGTGCGTGAGGTGTTTTCGCACGAAACCCACCAAACAAGATCCGTTCATGGGCAACCTTCCAAAAGAGAGAGTACAACCTGGGCGCGCCTTCCTAACAACAGGTATTGATTTCTGCGGTCCTGTTTCAATACATTTACAAATTCGAGGAAGAGCACCAGTAAAAGCATATATGGCCATATTTGTATGCTTCACCACGAGAGCCATCCATATAGAGGCAGTTAGCGACCTCTCAACCGCAGCGTTTATTGCAGCCTTGCGCCGTTTCATTGCTCGCAGAGGGCTCTGCAACACCATTATCAGTGACAATGCTACGAATTTTGTGGGTGCCAAAAACGAACTTGCTGAGCTTTATCGACTTTTCAAAACTGAAGTCCATCAAGAACAACTGCAGCAACTCTGTCAAGCAAATCGCATAACCTGGCGCACAATCCCTCCAAAATCGCCCCACTTTGGCGGATTGTGGGAGGCTGCTGTGAAGCAGGCAAAATATCACTTGGTGAGAGTCGTTGCCAATGCTACACTCTCTTTTGAAGAGCTCGCAACCATCACTGCTCAAATAGAGGCGATTTTAAATTCACGCCCACTCACGCCGATCTCCTCCGACCCGTCAGACTTGGAAGCTTTGACACCGGGTCATTTCCTCATCGGAGAGCCTCCCAGTTCATTCCCGGAGCCTGATCTTACTGACGCCAATTACAATCGCTTATCACGCTTTCGCCGTTTGAAACAGCGACAACAGCATTTTTGGCGTAGGTGGTCAAGAGACTACCTGCATTTGCTCCAACAGCGTCATAAGTGGACATCGAAAGCGCCCACCCTACAGCTGAACACACTTGTGCTAATTCAAGACGAGAATCTACCACCGTACAAGTGGCCGCTTGGTCGAGTTTTGTCAACGATCCCTGGTCGAGATGGAGTTCACCGTGTTGCCGAAATAAAAACGCAGTATCGGATCTACAAACGAGCTATAGTGAAGCTATACCCTCTACCCATTGACGATTGAAAATACTGAAGTATATTTCAAGGAGGCCGGCATGTTCAGTCGCAGCATTGTTCCTTCATAAATTTTCTTCTTATTTATACATATGTATGTATGTACTTCATATTTAAAATTCTTTAATTTCCTAATCCTAATTATTTTCTACCGATTTAAAATGTATTACTTAATATGTATTACCGAATATTCATATACCGACTTCATAAGTATATTTAATATTGTAACTCGACACATCACTAAATCAAGCTATTAACCTAACGGTCAAATTCCAATAGCGTTTACATGTAAGTTTGTCTTTATACATATGGATATAAGCTGTCGTTGAAATTATCTCTTTGGTATTCTTTCGCCACGCTTCGCCGTGCATACACGTAAACGAAGATTAATAAATCTTGACTTTTTTATATAAAAGAATCAAAATCGACTTTGATTCTTAACAGTAGGGGTGCCGCGAAATTTTTTTAGCACAACAAGGGTGCCGAGGTGAAAAAAGTTTGGGAGCCCCTGTATTAGAGTAAACGCGCTCTAGAATTTTGGAAGATCCTCCAGGAGACTTCAGGCGCCTGGAATAAACAGTCCCGCCTACTGGACTAAAGAATCATTTCCAAACAAGGATCCTTTCAAGGGGTGGATGGGAGGAGGATTCAGTCCTGACCTCATACTGTGATTCAGCAGCCTTCTACACCGATGGCTCCAAGTTAGATCTGAAGGTGGGAAGTGGGATATGCACGCAAGAACTCTCACTTAGCCTCAGTTTTCGTCTGCCAGATTGCTGTAACTATCTTTTCTGATAGACAGGCAGCTATCAAGGCACTTAATTGTGACAAATGAGCTGCCAAGGAGTTACTCTACTCAAGTTGTATGGGTGCCAGGTCACAGGGACATACCGGGCAACAGTGCTGCGGACGAGCTGGCTCGGAAAGGAACCCTACTGTGATCAGTATGGCTCGTAATGCGGGTGCTCCGCTCTCTTCTTGTAAACACTGGCTGCAGAATAACTTTATCGAACGGGCAAATGCAAGATGGTCTGCGGAGCTCACGTGAAGGATAGGGAGACAACATCTGGCCTAGGTTAGATAAGCGTGGATCTTGCGCTCTCTTCCGTTTGGAGCGACCAATGCTCCGCCATGTTATTGGAATTCTCACCGGGCACTGCCTTATGGGAACCCACGCTGCCAGGATGGGTTTGCATCCAAACGATTACTGTCTAGCTGCCGCGATGAGGAGGAAATCGAAAGCGTGGAGCATTACTTATGCCACTGTCCCGCTTTGGCAAGGTCTCGTCGACGCTCGCTCACCCGCTATTCTTTTGAGTATCTGGCTGAACTGGATTCGGCCAGTATCTACGATTTTGTTCGCTTCATCAGAGCTACAAATTGGTTCCATTTCTGAGGTAGGAGGAGAGACGTTAGGAGTCTCTAATATGGCATCACAATGGGCCCATGGAGCCTAAGTGTGCCCTTTTCCTGTACGGATGACGGCAGCCAGGATAACCTAACCTAACTTAACCTAACGCCATGCGGGTTCACTAGTTTTCATAATATTTTAGGCTCATTGTTTCAGCCCAAATTGGAGCACCTTAGAGTAAAACTGCGCTGACCACTTTACTAAGCAATACCCTTCTATTTGGTTTGGGACCGCCGATATTTGATATCGTTCTAGATAAGCATGCCTACAAATTGCGATGCTTCCCTTGCTGCATACTCAATGGTGGGCCATAAAGTTTACGCGAACATCAATCATTACCCCCAAATATTTGATTGCGGGCTTTGGTATTATAGCCTCTGATCCAACACTAAGTCTTATTGTCTCTACGGTATTTCTGCTACTTATCAATACTGCCTCTGCTTTGTGATGAGCGAGTTCTAAATATTTTGATGATAGCCATACCTTCACTCTCTTTATAGCTTCGCTGGCTTTCCTTTAAATAGCATGTATAGCTTCGCTCCTATTACTACAGCGTTATCGCCTGCGAATCCTATTATATTTGCCCGAGGAGGCATATTGATGGTCAGTGGCGTAGCCTGGGGGGATATGGGGGGATAGATCCCCCTTCCCCCCCCCTTCGTCATTGAACTACAATTATTTACTTTTGAATTAATAGCACAATACTATTTTATCCTTCTGATTTAAAATTTTTTTTATTTCAGCCGGATGACAAATTATCTTTTAATGAATATATGAGTAGTCCACTTGCAAACAGCGTTATGTGATTTTATAAAAGTAAACCATAAAATAAAAAAAAAAACGTCTACGACAACAAGTCTAACATCCGAACTGTAACTTTTTTATTACCTGAAAATGTGGATAAATAAGAGCCTAATACCATTAAAAAAATAAAATTGCAGTATGGTAGATTTGCAAATTTTATATTTAAAAATTTAATATTGCAAGTTTTCCAACAGTAACTTTTACATAGCTAGCTTTTTTTAGCTTTTCGCGTTCTCTCCTCTAGGAAGATTGGTTTGCTTCTTTTTTGCGACCTCTTCCACTAGGCACCGAAACTACCACGCTTTCTTGCAGTTTTCTAAGTTCATACCAAGAGGAGACATTTGAAAGTGTATAAATAAGTATTACAGCGACTTTTGCACGAGTAGTTAACATTTCATGCTATTTTTTTTTCAGAATATAGAAAAATTTTTCACTCTGCTGTTAGTGGACATGAAACCCACCAAAAATTAAAAATCTTAAAAAAATGTACATAGCGCACTTTGCAAGTGGACTACTCAATTGTGGAATATGCTATCTTATTTGGCCCTTCTTTTAATAAAATTAAGGAGCGGCTGAATGGTTTAACCACGTTAGCGGTGCATAATGATGTGCCGATTACAACACAAGAAGTAATTGAAAAAATGTGTGTTAAGGAACGAATATTAAAAAACGATTTATAAGTAATAAGATTTTGTAGACTTGTACATAAATAAATGTAAATAGATACGCGTAAATATATAAATATGCAGATATATTCAATCTGTAAAAACTGAAGTGTATACTAAACTTCTACAAAACAAAACTGGACTACACAATAATTAATTAAAATGGTGTAGTACTTAAATTTTTTAAATTTAAATAAAGCATGAATTCCCCAGGGAATAACCGAGTAGACAAAAAATATATAACGGTAGAAACGGCACATACATACTATATGAAATAATGCCCACAGGCGACGCACTATAGGCAAAACACGAGTTTTTTTTCAAAATCGTAGAGCTTCGCTTAGAAAATAGATAATGGAATGCAGCATTTAACCCTTTAATGCAGAGTCGTCATATATGAAACGCTTTTTAACCCTTTCAAGGCAGAGGAAAAAGGTTCTCAATATGCTTTTGAACGTGCTTTTTCTCATGTTGACGTAGATATTAATCGTAGAAAATTTTCCATAGTAAAATAATAATAAAAAAAAATAAATAAAAAAAATAAAATAAAAATATTAAAAATAACAATAAAAACAATTAAAAAATAAAAATAAATAAAAAGTACGTTGAAAACATATTGAGAACCATTTTTCCTCTGCCTTGAAAGGGTTAAAAAGCGTTTAATATATGACAGACTCTGCATTAAAGGGTTAAATGCTGCACTTTCGTAAAGATACCGACCAGTATAACCATTTTTGTTATATAAATTTTTTTGTGAAATCTGATAGTTTACGAGTTATTAGAGTTTAAAGGTAGCTTTTCTTTTTCCAATCTGGCCACTCGGGTACAGCATCCAATGTCCCAAGAATCGAGTCTTAAGATAAAATAAAGAGAAATCTTTCAGAAACAGTGCTAATAGTGTTTTCTAGTGGAATGGGAGCCAAAATCCAAAATTAAAAAAAGTGACATTTCGAACGGTATTTTGAGAGTTAATTTATTGTTGTTGTAACTTCTCTATAGTTTTCCTATATTATATGATCATTTATCTTCACGATAAAAAAAATGTTCATTCCATTATCTCTTTTCTAAGTGAAGATCTACGATTTTGAAAAAAAACTCGTGTTTGTCTATAGTGCGACGCCTCTAGCCATTAGGTATCAAAACTTTAAGTTATCGATGCAAATTTTTTTTAATAAACGACCTTTTAGGGGATTTGGAAAAAGTGGGCTGTCGGGTGATCCTATGTAAATGATGTGGAACTTTTGGTTAAGGGACGATTTATATACACCGTTTTTGATCTGGCTCAAGGTTCCCTGAACTAGGTGGGCGATCAACGGTGGCTGTCGTAAAAACCTAACATTGAGGAAAGGGTAGGAAAGGTGTCGGTTGCCTTGTACTGCTAAAGGGGAGCTATCAGTAAAAGGTGGGGTCTCTCGCCCAAATTAATTCATTAGCTTTAGGAAACTAGATCTAAGCCTATATTGTTTCAAGGAGCCCTTGTCAGGTGGAACTCACTAGAAAAGGCTACACTTGTAAAACAGGAATTAGCGGAGCATTAGGAACCACACCTACATATACTGGCGCTTAACATACATATGGCCCAAATCGCCGAAAACGAAACCAAGGGGAATTTTTTTTTTCAGGTTTCGCAGATTTTGGATTATATCTGGGTCATACATATTCTAAGGTATCGAACAACATCAATATTAACGCGAATCTCCTTCTCTTAAACATGAAAATTCACTTATTCTTGAGACACCTTTAAATAAACGAAAATTAAAAAAGCACAACATGAAACTAAAGGGTAGTTTATATTTAAGGTCCACCACTTGTTTGCATTATACTTGCCTCTCTTCGCTTGCTTTGTATTATTTTGAAGTAAATAAAAAAAAAAGTATTCGACAAAGAAATCAGCGATTAGTTTTCTATATGAAAATCAAGTCGGCAGTATTTTTTAATGTAATGTAACAGTCTAAAATATTAAAAAGTTTTTTGGCGCGGAATCCACCAAACTAAAAAAAAGGAAAAATATAGTTTTCTTTGTGGATTTTCGGCCTTATTTCACAGTAAAATAAAATAGTTCCACAAACTCTTCAGTACCAATATGTTTTCGGTGGAAAGCTATTTGTAACGTAACAGTCTTTTGAACTA